AGGTACTTCACTGGAAACCAGAACTTCTGACTAATACGTTGTCTTAAGAAGGTCCAACTTGGACACGCCAAATGCGAGCACCTTCTCTCTTGTTTTCCTCCCACTCAGTTGCCTTGAAGAAAAGGGTTAAGATGAAGGTCCTTAATAGTTGAGACTGTTGAAATTATTCTATTTTGTAGTTCCAATATTGCAATTTCATATTTTTCTAATACGTCTTCCTGTACTTCCTCTTTCAGGAACTTCGTACTTAACAGATATAGTATGGTGGTCTGGCACGATTGCGAGTAAGTATCTTAAAAGGTTTGGTTTTATTTGAAGGGAGAAGTTGCGGTTAGACGGTGCAATGAGACATCAGGAAATCTGGGTTCTCATCTTGAATCTCGCGCTTGCTTGTCACGAAATTCCCATCCCTCAGAAATATCCCACCTTCAGTAAACTCTCACTCTGGCTACTGTATCTGATGGTATTTGAGAAGGCAAAGAGATGGGACGATCCCAAGTCAGACATCTGTCCAGATTTCTGAACCGTTTGGTACTTGCAGCCCTTGGCAGCCACGCGCTGCTCTGATTCTGGGTTCCTGCACGGTTTGTGTCTCTGGATTGCGCTGGTCTGCTCAGTTTTGAATAAAAGTCGAAGCTGAATAAGAAATTGTTGGTCTGCACAAAAGGGCTCATTGAGCACGTTATTTTTTTTAGATCAGAAAGCACTTAGCCAGCCTGAACTGAAAAAAAAACCCAACCTTTTTGATTTCTAGTTTGACAGATACAGTTTCAGTTTTTAATCTACAGGATTAACCTTGTGTGGTGCTGATATCTGATTAACTTTGTAAACTCTGCTCACGCTAAGTTCATTCTCTGATGTGAATCCAGAGCATGGGGAGCAGCTAGCTTTTTCCTCTTGCAGTTCAGCCGTAGTTCTACCCACGAGCTTAAAATCATACCCCACTTTTAGACTGTACCCCAGCCTTTTGCGAATTATTTGGAAATGTTCTAATGATGTTTCTGGGAAGTATATGTATCCAGTTGTGTCCCTTGTTTTGTGGCAACAAGGTAGGTCTCTGTTTTTGTTGTCTTCAAGCTATGCAAAAGGAATGGAAACTGATAGATCCCTTGAAGGACAAAGTTGACAGCAAGTGTAGAAGCCAACAGAGCTTCAGAGGAAAGTCCTCGGCTAATTTAACCGGAGTTTAAGTAGTACTTTGTCAGCTTTCTCCTCTGCCAGGATCACTGCTGCCTAAGTAGCAATAAATCCGTGCATTAATCACTGTTGTTTATTGCTCGTGAGGCTCCTGTCTTGAATCTCTGAGCAGAAGCAGTTAAAATAAGAGAGGCTTTATTACAGGAGTTTATCTTAGTGAATCAGAGAAAATGATTTCATGCTTAAAAGAGCTGATAAAATTGAAAGAAGGCAAAATAGCTGAAGGGAATGGTATCAGTTGGCTTTTGTCCAGTAGCTAGGTGCAGGTATTTCAAAACAAAGCCTCAGTAAGTTTACAAAGGAACCAAGGGAAGAATTGCTTAAGGATATTATAGACTCAGAATTGCAACAGAGTCACAAACAGGCCAGGTAGGTGGGCACCTATGGGATGCAGAGAGAGGCGATGTTTGGGGAATTAGCAATATCCCCAGTTATCTGGTCGAAATTACAAGAGCTGACATCATTTTCTCAAGCAGGGAATTTGGAGTTTGCATGACTAACAAAACCCACGTAAACTTTATCAACTTTTTCTCACAATACTTGTTCAGGTGGTGAACAAGCATTTCTGTGCTGGCATGCTGACTCAGCATAACACTGCCTAACCATTTTGGGGCCTTGGGATCCACTGGATTACTGAAGACTTCAAAGGAAGGGCTGCAGATTCTGCTAAGGGATTTTTTTTAAAGTCAAAAGAGCAATTGCAGCATGTGTACAGGTATTTCAATGAGCATTAAACTAGTTAATTGGCTAATTAATTAGTTTCAGTGCAGGTTTTGATAGCAGCATAGATGTGGCTGGTTTTTATAGTGGATACATCTATGTTAGTGTTTTATTGCAGATGGGAAGTGCACTTGTGAAGTGAATCTCCTGTTGGTCTCCACGGATTGGGCTTTTTTTTCATGTTGTGGAGCAGCGTTGGAGCTCCTGAACCGGACTTTAAGATGAAACTAGGCTGGAAGATGCATTGTAGGAACGTGCCTAATGCACACCAGCTGCAAAGAGACTTTCAGTCCATGGGAGCAGGCTGAAGTTAGTCTGAAATAAAACCCCTGACATGCGTAGAGCAGACATCTTTTGCTGTACGGATCTACTCCTGGTCTCCTTGCTAATGTGGATATGTCAGTGTGCATCAAGTTTTGTGTTGCAATAACTTCAGGGATATTGGTACTCCTTTAGCAAGCTTAAAGCTTGGTGTGCCTTCAAGAACTGAAGCCATGAGTTGACTTACAGCACTGATGTATCTGGAGAGGAATTTCTATCCAGAGCAGACTGGATAGGTTGGCAGCAAAGGTCCTTGACATCAGGTAGACAGTCACAATTACTGAGATTCTTTTTTTAATTGGTCTTAATTAGTCCTGGTCTGTTGTTCGTGGTGGTAAGAGACTGTTACTATTATTCTGTGGAGATACTGAAAACTTCTGGTAAGTTCAGTTGCCTTATGATAGGTGCGGTTTGACTGAAGCTTTAGAGACCTAATTTATGGATCGGTGTTGGTTCTTCCAACAGAAAGTTAAGGCAGCTGACCTCCAAAAAAAGCAACCTTTTGTCAGAGTCACTTGGAAATGTGACTTTATGGAAATTTAATCTGCAGAAACACCATGTGCTAGCTGTGTCCCATCCTCCATGCAAGATCTGCCCCAGTGCCTTCAGATGCCTTGAAGATAATGCCAAAGTTGCCACGTACATCTGCTGAAAAACAAGCCCGAGGCTGATAGCTGAGTTACTCTGTTCCCAGGGGCAGGGAGAATTTAGGAGACCATCACTGACTCTTGTGCTCTAGAAATGCTTCTCGTTAACTTCTCTGGCTCACTCCTGCATGTAGAAAAAGCCTCAGGGAATTGAACTAGTATAATTTTGCCACAATCTGCCGTTTTGTAAGTTTGTTTGTCTCCTTTGTGTTTCCTGTAGGTTACACAGGTCTTCAGCTCTACTGATAATGTGAGCTAATTTGGTAAATTAATTAATGTTTGCACAGTGCTTTGCAGGTGTAAAGAACAGGATGATGGTAACGATATTTGATAGTTGAGGGCAATGCCAACCTGAGCATAAAGACAGCCTGGATTCTTGAAATGGTTTTAAATGCTGGTAATGGCTCTTAACATCAACTGGAAATTTGAGCTGTATGTAATTTGCGTTCAATCTCAAGGTTCTTGCCAGATACCACAGACCCTGTAACTATGCAAGTGTCATGTTGACTTATTACAAACTTGCCAGCACTTGCAAAACCATCCAGCTTTTCTCTTTTAACTGAAAACTTGAACGCATGGACTGTTTATCACAGCTGTGATGTGCAATAGTGTGGTACGTCTTGGAATTTGCTTTTATTGGGGGAAAGGAAAAAAATAAGACTGCGAGGCTTTTATTGTGACTTGTCAGGGATCTGTTCTTCTTACAGTGGTCAGGAATTACTGTTGGTGTTATATAGTGGTGTGAAAATTTGATGTGGTCTGCCGTATATTGAAGAGCCCTTATGCATGTGCTTAGTATTTCATTAGTAGATTCCTTTTCCTCAGTACTGTCCTCATTTTCCCCCCAAAAGGTAACACTGCTGTTAGCAACTATAATCAAGTGCATTCGTGTCACACATATGCACGTTCTAAAGCTGAAATCATGGGTTATATATACTTTTAACCCTCCTCGTATAAATATTTGAGTGTAATATTGAGATATTTGAGTGTAATCCATGTGTGTTTCTAATTCATAGTCTTATTTATATTCAACTAAGAGAAGTTGCAAATGAGATTATTTACTGTACCCTCTTGGATCTTCAAATATAAATAAAAATAAATATAAAGCAAATATAAATCCTATATTAAAAATAATTTTAAAATATAGAAAAATTCCAGCCATTTTGTTTAAGTGCAAAATTAACAGAGCTAAGCAAATTTGTAACATCTGTTTTCCAGTTAGGTCAGGCTTTCCCAAACAGTATTGGGTAAGTTTTCGTTACTTCTTCTTACAAAGAGATTTAAAGGCTTATTTCTGGTTCTTTTGACAGTGGCTCTGGGTCAAATAGGGAATTTCTTGGCCTACACTGCAGTCCCAACTGTGCTAGTGACGCCCTTGGGAGCTCTTGGCGTTCCATTTGGGTAAGAGTTTGCTTTTCTTGGTCTCATCTGAATGTTGTTACTACTTAATAAAATGTCAGATAGACTCAGCGATCACTGGAGGTCTGATGTGTGATCACACATCATCTGAGAAGATGTCAGGCTTATGAGTGTTAATGCTGTGTTATAATGTCACCTATTTGTGTTTTCCCCAGCAAAGTGGTGGCGGGGGGGAGGGCAATGGTGAAGAAAGGGTTCCTGAGTACCTTCTGCTTTAACTATCACTATGGTCTGGAACAGATAAACATTTCCCCTCCTCCTCCCCCCCTTTCATTGTGGTTGTTCTGGACTCTTCTACTTATTCTTTTATTCACAGTTCCCTTACTATGTAGATCTGTCCTTTTGTCTCACATGCTTTCTCTCCCCTGCTATCCACAACCCACATGTGTTTATTGATGCTGATTTTCATTTAATTGGATTTGACCCCATTTCCTGAAGCAGGGGTCCCTTGCATATGCATGCCCACAGCTTCTTGAATGTTATGTTCATGTGAAGGGAGGGAACAAAAAAGGCAGTGAGTGCTCCTAAAAGGAGCTTAATATGCAACTAAATGTTTTGTGACTAGCTAAACTACAGTTGTGAACCTACTGCAGTGAAAAAGTACGATTCTTTAAAAACGAAGCTGTGCGTTGCTTCAAGATTTTTCTGTTGGCTGCTGAATTGTGTATCTGGCTGCACTGGTCACCTACTTCAGAGTGCAGATTGCTTTGTATGGACTTCATGGCTGTCTTTAGTTTTATACACTATGAAGCACACTGATGGTGCTCTACTTACCACCTATTATTTTATCCTAGGCCATATAATTTTGTGTATTTCAGTCAGCTACGTGGCTGAGCTGAGCCCTGTGGTCTTTGTAACCAAAGGCTACTTTTATCTCAAGACTGCGTAGCACCTATAAAACAGGGCTTCGTGATAGCTCACCAAATCGTTAACGGGTAGATATCTGCCTCGGGTGCCAGATGCCTGGTTTGGGGGTTTGGGTTTCTTTGGAGGTGGTGATGTGGTAGTGTTTTTGGGGGTGTTGTAGTCGGGTTTTTTGTTAGTTTTTTGGTTGTGGTTTTTTTTTTTTCCCTGCAATGAAACATCAAGGATTGAGTAAGACTGAGACTGGATGAATCTTTCCTAAGACAAGTCAGAAATGCCATTTTGAGGATCCACCAACATTTGGTTGAAGATCCACCAACATTTGATACTATTCCTTTAAGAGGGAAATTCATGTGGGACATCACTGTTGGAGCATTATTAACAGGATGTAGGCGAACTTTTAATTTCTTTCCTCTTTGTGAAAGGTCCATTTTAGCTTCTTACTTACTGAAAGAAAAACTGAACATTCTTGGCAAGCTGGGATGTTTGCTGAGCTGCGCTGGGTCTGTTGTTCTCATCATCCATTCCCCAAAGTCCGAGAGTGTAACAACTCAGGCTGAGCTTGAAGAGAAGCTTACAAATCCAGGTACTTTGTTCTTTTATTAACTCATAATGATTTTGTGAAATTGATCAAGACCACGCAGGAGGAAGAGGCTTACCGCTTCCATCAGGTAGGAAAATTGACTTCTGAAGAAACCATGACGTGACAGAGGCAAACCAGTACAGCTTTTGTGTGGGAAAACTATGCCTTGCTGTACTTGGGACTTGTCAGATTGATGCCTGTGTGCAGAAAGGAAAATGTGGATACTTCTGAAAACCTTATCCTGCACAGCAAGCTCAGAACAATGGCCGTTTGAACTTGTAATTTTCTAAAACTATGAAAAAGTGTATCTGGCTACTTAAGAGATGAAAGGTATAATTCTAGGATCTCAATTTAAGTTGTTTTATACAAAACAAAAAATATTGATTGTCTTTTGTTCTTTAATTCAGCATTTGGTTTTTTTATTAAAAGTTTATAATAGATACCAGTTACGTTCCAAGCAGATTTCTTTGCACAATAAAGGTGTGTAGAAATATGCTGCTGAGACATACGCTGAAATGCCTGTTCTTTCTCACAGAGGATGTAAAGCCCCACTAGCTCCTGGAGGACACAGACTAGTGCTAATGCATACCAGACCCACTTTTATTTTTCTTGCATAAGAGCTAAACTGCCAACTATTGTTGTTTCCTTTAATTGCTATAGGTGAGAGAAACTTAAACCTAGTAACATCAGCCAGCCAAAAAATTTGCAAACACAGAAAAGAAAACAAATACTCTGGTCTAAATTTACCATTGCAATCTGACCAAAATAAATTGGAAATGTATTTCTTTAAAACTGTAAAGCATGAAATGTTTTTCACCAGTCTAATCTGTGTACTGTTGCTATAATGTAAATGGTATGGCCTCCCAGTTCTTCCAGCCCTCCCTACTCACCTTAATGGGATCTAACTTTATGTTTAAGCTCTTTGCTAGATCCACGCACCGTGCTTTATTGAACTGGTTATTAATGAGGTGTTATTACTGCTGTCTGTCATGGGGGCTTTAAGGAATGTAATCCTGATGGAAGAGAGAATGAAAAGAAAGCAAGCCATCTTAAATCCAGTTCAAATGTGCAACAGTGTGTATTTTACTACATGATGGTTTGTTTTACCCAAAGAACATGACAACATCATCAGTTGCAGATGCCCACATCTCTAAAAGCTCAGCGATTTGGATCTATATTCAATAGCAAATCTTAATCCTGGTGTATACCTGAAGTTCACTGGTATGACATGATTTGCCTACTAAAATCTTTAGAAGACCAAGAGTTCTCACCTGGCTATTATCTTGTTTTCTTTTTGTTTTCCAGTTTTCGTGGGTTATCTCTGCATAGTGCTGCTAATGCTTCTCCTGCTTATCTTCTGGATAGCTCCAGCTCATGGACCTACTAATATCATGGTTTACATCAGTATTTGCTCTCTGTTGGGCAGTTTCACTGTTCCCAGCACAAAAGGCATTGGGCTGGCTGCTCAAGATATCTTTCACAATAACCCCTCGAGTCAAAGGGCTCTGTACCTCTGTCTGGTACTTCTGGCAGTATTAGGATGTAGCATTATCATTCAGTTCAGATACATCAATAAGGCACTGGAATGTTTCGACTCCTCTGTGTTTGGTGCCATCTACTATGTTGTGTTTACCACCCTAGTCCTGCTGGCTTCAGCCATCCTTTTCAGGGAATGGAGTAATGTAGGAGTGGTAGATTTCTTGGGAATGGCTTGTGGATTCACCACAGTATCTATTGGAATTGTTCTTATACAAGTCTTCAAGGAATTTAACTTCAATATCGGGGATTTAAATAAACCTAACATGAAGACAGATTAAAATATTTTTTGAGGGGAAACTGGATGGCTCAGGGAAGGATGCAGAGCCTTTCATTTCTAGGTCACTGATTCAAATGTGATTCAGGTTGGTAGCTACCCTCTGACAATTTGGTGGCCTACGTGAAATGAATCGGAGGCCTCCATCCAGTTTCAAAGGAACAAGTTGTCCATGTACCCCAGTCAACACAATAAATGACCTTAATTGGAACCACTGATTGAGTCAGCATAGAGACCGATGTATTTCCTTACTGTAAAAGTTAATCCATCAGGAAAGATCTGGGGATATTCTGACAGACCGGTGTGTGAAAGCTTGTATTGTGGCTTCTGAGGTACCATTTCTGTGGGCAGAGAACATCAGTTTCTAATGCACTCAATCTGACACCTTTCATGAGTGAGGTATACCTTAAAATACGGGGTGGGGGGAAAGGAGTGGAACAATTTGTTAATCTTGATATAGCAATGTGTCCACCGTCAAGGCTGTGAATTCTGAGACAAATGTTGGTTGAACCGTGGACTGCAGATTTGTCCTTTTTAGTGACTGTCTCGGCAACTTGGTCTGCCATGCAGTGAAGACACTGGGGAGTTTTAAATTGAATGCTATATACAGAGCAGTGGACCCTTAAAAATCTTTCACTAATTACTTATCAGCTGATGGTAGTGTCCAGGTACGCATTTTTCTTTGTAACTTATGTGCATTAAGACATGCCGCATTCATCTGAGAGTTTTTAATTGGGAGCAGACAGAAAGACTGTGAAGGATGTGGAAATGATGCAGAGACTCATTGCCTATATGGTGGCTTATATCTAAGCGGCTCAGAACTATTTCAGTGCCTTTGTAATCCAAAAATACTGCATAAATGTGAATGTGTTTGTTTCAGATGACCTATACCGGTTTAATAATTCAATTTCACTGTCTATAATATTGGACTGTATTCAAATTCTAAACACGTAAAGCATCCAGAAGGAGCCACGCATTTTTGGAAGAATTTACAAACCTGAACCGAAACCCTTAGATGCCTTGACAGCTTCTGAAAAACCCATAGTCCTAATGGGAAGGGGTAATCTACGGGAGGACTGTTTAAAGCAGTCCAGCATACCTTTATTTTAGTGAAGTGACTAAATACGGGAAACCATTTTGTGAAGTAGCTAGTAAGCAGGGACCACAAAAAAAGAAGATTGAGAGAGAAGAGCATGCGATTTCTCATAGCTCAAGAAAAGATGGTCTGATCCTCTTGTAACGTGGGAAAAGGAGGTTAAAGACTGAAAAAGCATAGGCATTCAGAGAGCTGAGTTTCAGATAACCAACAGGGATATACATCCAGATCCAGTAATTTACAGACTTGTGTGAACAGTCCAGCCATAATATTTTGACAATGAATACAGATAGCTTAAGCTATGATTGGAATGATTCTGAACCGTTCAGTTTAAACCATTTAGAGAACATTGATATGTCAAAGAAAGAAATAGTTAATTTTCATGTTCTATTTATATTTGGTAGTTAAAACATCACGAGTCAAAAACGCGTAAGGAAAGCTTGAAAAGTAATGAATGTTGGTTTCCATTTAAGTACGCAAATGGAAGCATACAGTGGAACTCAACATCTCTAGTTCAGAACGTCTCTTGAAACAAACAAAAAACCCCAGCGTGATTACGAGACAGTATTTGAAAAAGTTCATGATGCTTTATCAAGAAATCATGAATGTAGCTTTGTGGCTGGCTGACAGGAATGTGGACCTTGATTAACGGGGAGTAATACTGTCCACTCTCGTGATGTTTTTGTTGACCTGAACTAATGTTACCTTAAAACTCAGCCTCCGTTTTCATTTAAAAGGAATGTTACAAGCCCTTTTGATGGCAGCAGTAATTGTGAACAGTGAATCCTAAAAACTTAGTATTCTGAAGGGACTGTTCTGAGGGAGTAAGGGCTCCACTCTGTTATTTGGAAGCTTGTTTTATAACTCCAAATTGGGGGGGAATGACTCTGAGTTGGCAGAAACGTACATTGTTATAGGCCAGCACAGAAACTGGGTATCTTGGTGAAATAAAATAGCGCTAGCAGAGAAAAGGCCATCTTCATGGATTTTCAAATACTGCATATGGTTTCTAGAAAGTTTGAGAATTGTAGATGAGGGGAATTGGACAATGAAAGCTGGTTAAAACTAACCTCTGTCCATTATTGAGTGGAAGATGGTATCTTGGTTCTCAGCAGACAGTTACGTTTTTTCGTATTAATCCCCTTTTTTCTGATTGAAACCGGAATTGTACATAGGTTATGAGACCTGTAGTGACCTACTTTTTAAAACAATATGTTAGCTGTTTTCTGAAGCAGTCAAACCTTCTTTTCAAAATTCAAATTCAGGGTTCATGAGTTGCATGTTGCACTAGCCTTTAATCTCTGAAGACTTCTGTGAAAATCTTTAGGTCAGAATGGAAATGATTGTGGTCTCATCTTAGTCGTCCTTTGGCCATATTCATTTTGTTTTAAAGTTCATTCCTATTTATTTAGAAAGTGCCTATCCTAGTATGTTAGGTGCATATACAAATTATTAGTAAATATTAGATCCAAAATAACTTGACTGCCCTGTCTAAACCTTGCCATTTTCTCCACCACACACACAAGTTTACTTGATAAGCACTCGCTATGCAGAGTAAGAAGAAAGTAGCAGCCATGCTCTGTGGTCCTCTGACCATCCTTACGGCTGATAAATGTCTGCATAGGTTTCTTCTCTTCTCCCCAGCTGCTCCTCATCTGTGATGAACTTTCTAGAAATGTCTAATTACCCTTGTTGCTTAAAACAGAGATGTCAAAAGCCAGCACGTGAGGTGAAAGAAATTCTCGTGGCCTTGCGCATCATTTATATCTGCAGCCTTTTACATCATGAATGCTAAATAATGGAAACCTTTATTTTTGCTGCTTTGTTCAGTATGCAGCAGTGTTCTTTTGAGTTCTGCTGTACCTGGATCTGGTTCAGTTCTAACTTTAGAAATGTATTAGCATTTTCTGTTGTCACTACTGGTATGATTCTTCTCCCCTCCATCCCACGCCCTCCTCGTTCTAGGTGGCCTACCTTTTTTTAGTCCCGTTGCTTTTCTGATTTAAAAGGAGGCACTGTTGCAGTTGAATTTTAGCTGTTCCCTCTTTTTTTTTTCACCCCTTTGACAAGTAAGCACTTTGACTAAGACAGATAACTGAGTTCCATCATCTCAGGGAGCGAGTGTGCATAGTTGTCTCCTGAGCTTTGGTGTCCCTCACGGGTCTGCCCTCTTCACGTTCTCTTTGCATTACATCTGTCGATAGCGACGAGCCAGATGACTTCAGTTCTGATTCCAAAGTAGAAGTGGGAGAGGCTACACATACAAAAAGTGGACTCATTACAGCGGTGGAATGCATTTGAATTAAATTCAAATCCATACGAAAGGCTTTTCACTCCGTATGTCTGGCTTCTATTATACTTGTCAAACATTACTTACTTGATACTCACTTGAAGATAGGTCTTTGATCATTATCCCTTCAGTGTATGGAGGATTTACATGTGTCAGTCACAATCTTTATTAGGTGTCAAACACAAAAATCCCTCAAATGTTCAGTAGGAGAGTAGAAACCTTTTTGATACAACCAAAAAAAAATTTGTTACACCTTAAATACTTATGTAAAAAAGAAAAGTATCTAAACAAGTTATCTGCTGTATTGACTTTCCAGGACTCCGTATGTGTAAATAGAGCCTATTTATTAGTGAGCTGTGGCTAACATTAATAAGAACCTGTCATATCACAGTTTGACAAGTGAGGCTTCCTATTAATAATCTCGGTTTATATTGAACATACGTATTTTTCTGAAGTAACTAGCACTGAAAAATGAAAACACTGGATTTTATTTGCTGAAATACTAGAATCTGAGGTTTAGCTTTCCTTTTTATTTAAAAAATAGGGGGGTTGTATTTTAAGAAAGATTTGGGGTTATTAAATATGGGGTGCTTAAAACAGGCCATTGTTTGCACGTTATACCCCTCTCACCTTCTTGTTTCATAGATATAAAGCATCAAGGATTCTACATATCTTCCTCGGTTGTCTTGAGATGGTGTAACTGCTGAAATTTTACTGTTAAATCAAATGTTATCAAATGTTTATCTATTACCTGTTGTCTTTACAGAGATTAGCCTTTGTAATAACTCTTTGGTGCTACTAAATATGGGCTTAAGTGATGCAGAAGTTTAGTGTGTACCATGTTAGGCACCAATGATGTCAGCAGTTATTATTACTAGCGCCCAAGTGTTTCAGACAGCAGTGTTGAAATGTTATGGATTAAGAAATCTTTTTTAAAAGCTGCAAATAAGTGGGGTTTTTTATTGTTTTTTGTTGTGGTGTGTCCCCCCCGCCCCCGACAGTTGCTCTACAGAGTGGAAAATATTACACAAAAGGGGTATTTTCAAGTTAAATCCTTTTTCAACTGTGGAACTTTCTCTTCTTTTTTTATTTTTTTTTATTTCCTGGAGTGTAAAAAATAGTTCTAATGGGATATGGGGAAAAGGTGGATGGCAACAAATACACAGCGTCAGGTTTGGTTGCTTCAATGCTATTGCAATATAGTTACTACAGATTACATAAAAATGGTTTATTTTATTAGCTTCCAAATAATGTATATATAGATTTGTTAATGGCTTATAAGTCAAGCTTACTCTTTGCTTTTTAAGAAATAGTTATAGGCATGTTGTATTTGCCTTGTGTAAATTATAAAAGGCTATTTATTAAGTTTTCTGATAACTAATCTATTTATTAACCTGTATTGTTTTAAAATAAATGATTTATTTCTAGCTCAATGCTTGTTTTGTGACTCCTCCTCTTTATCACACGGGGGGGGGATCAGTTTCCCACACATCTAGCTGCTGTACAGCCTAATCCCAGTTCATAAGCCCAAACTATTTCCATTACTCTTTAATAAAATAGCAGCCTTGCTTTTACTGAGAGTAACAGATTCTTTCATGTGCACAGATCAGTTGCCACACGAAGGGCTCAGTTGTTGTATAGTGGTGTCTACCAACAAGCTGGAGCCTTAATGTCTTCATTGTACTGAAGTTTGCTCACAGGTAAAGTGAACGTTTCTCTAGCAGAAATGTTTGTTGGGGCCTGAGTCACTTCAAACTGTGTCTTAAGGGTTATCATGCGCTCTGTTCCTGCGTTCCCGTACACTGGCTACTTGCTAGAGCTTTTATTTCAAGATCTACTACTCCACAGTTGGGTGTGCATCGAGTGGCAACAGCTGTAAGGAAGTCTGTGTCACCAGTCTAATTTACTGTCACAAGAGCTTCCTGCAGAAAGAATCACTTGGGAAATTACAGTGGCTGCCCATCTAATCCTTCATATGAAATTCCTAGCTCCTCCTATCAGGTACTGGCAAATACGTGACTTTCAGGCGGGGGGGGTGGTGGTGGTGGTTGGTTTTTGTTTTTTTTAATGGTGGGATTTATGATTAAGAACTGTTTCAGTCTTTGCGCTTGTGTTTTAGGGGATGCATCAGTATTACTGCTGGTCAAAATCGAAAGTTATTTTTAAACAAGGAAATTAGCTCCTCTCCAATATAAAATGTTCTATGCAGTGGAAAAGATTGGCATGGATTCTTTACTGGGTATGTCATTGCAATTTTATTTTTAAAGGTGTTGATGATATTAATGCAATGTACAAAGATAGACCAGAAAACTAGAGAGGCTTTCCTTTCTACATGCAGCATCTCTGATTTTTAAGTTAATAGGATAAGGAGTATGTATTTTGAGAACATATTTTTAGCAGGAAAATTCAACTCTCTATTCTCTTCTTGTGCATCTCTGGAGTTAGGCCTCTAAGGCAGCATTGTGGTAAAAGCAAGTATGCCATTTACACCACCGTTATGGCTGAAAGTTATCGCTGATGTAACCAATCCTCATCTCCAGTCTGGGATGTAACCAAGCATATGAATCTCACCCACACAGTTCATATGGGAAGAGACCAAAATCTGATAGTGCCAAAAGGAGAAGAAAAAAAAAAAAGTCCCGTTGATTTTTCTGAGGTTTGTTCTAAGAGCTTAAGTCTTAAGCAGAGTCCCTTAAGTCCCTTGTATGTGACAGTGCAACTGTTGCACGAGCAGACTCGCAGACATGGCTTCTTTGTTCTGCTCAGCTGTCTTCGTTAAATGCAGCAGGGACGTGGCCACCAGAGACCCCATTACAGCTGCCCGATTCCCTGATCAATTTTCTGCCAGATACGGACCTCGCTGAATTCACCCCCGGGTGGGATGCTTTAAACGGGTTCATGAGAGGCAGGTCCTGCTTGACCAACCTGATCTCCTTCTATGACCAGGTGACCTGCCTAGTGGATGAGGGGAAGGCTGTGGATGTGGTCTACCTGGACTTCAGTAAGGCCTTTGACACCGTCTCCCACAGCATTCTCCTCAAGAAGCTGGCGGCTCACGGCTTAGACAGGTGCACTCTGTGCTGGGTCAAAAACTGGCTGGACGGCCGGGCCCAGAGAGTTGTGGTGAATGGAGTTAGATCCAGTTGGTGGCCGGTCACGAGCGGTGTTCCCCAGGGCTCAGTTTTGGGGCTGGTCTTGTTCAATCTCTTTATCAATGATCTGGACGAGGGGATCGAGTGCACCCTCAGTAAGTTTGCAGACGACACCAAGTTGGGCGGCAGTGTTGATCTGCTCGAGGGTAGGAAGGCTCTGCAGAGGGACCTGGACAGGCTGGATCGATGGGCCGAGGCCAACTGTATGAGGTTCAACAAGGCCAAGTGCCGGGTCCTGCCCTTTGGCCACAACAACCCCATGCAGCGCTACAGGCTTGGGGAAGAGTGGCTGGAAAGCTGCCTGGCGGAAAAGGACCTGGGGGTGCTGGTCGACAGCCAGCTGAACATGAGCCGGCAGTGTGCCCAGGCGGCCAAGAAGGCCAATGGCATCCTGGCCTGTATCAGAAATAGTGTGGCCAGCAGGAGCAGGGAAGTGATCGTGCCCCTGTACTCGGCACTGGTGAGGCCGCACCTCGAATACTGGGTTCAGTTTTGGGCCCCTCACTACAAGAAGGACGTTGAGATGTTGGAGCGTGTCCAGAGAAGGGCAACGAGGCTGGTGAGGGGTCTGGAGCACAAGTCCTATGAGGAGCGGCTGAGGGAACTGGGGTTGTTTAGCCTGGAGAAGAGGAGGCTGAGGGGAGACCTCATCGCGCTCTACAACTACCTGAAAGGAGGTTGTAGCGAGGTGGGTGTTGGTCTCTTCTCCCAAGTAACTGGCAATAGGACGAGAGGAAATGGCCTCCAGTTGCGCCAGGGGAGGTTTAGATTGGACGTGAGGAAAAATTTCTTTACTGAAAGAGTGGTTAAACACTGGAACAGGCTGCCCAGGGAAGTGGTGGAGTCCCCATCCCTGGAGGGATTTAAAACATATGTAGATGAGGCACTTAGGGACATGGTTTAGTAGGCATGGTGGTGTTGGGTTGACAGTTGGACTCGATGATCTTAGAGGTCTTTTCCAACCTTAATGATTCTATGATTCTAAATCTCTGCCAGCTGGCACTGTTCTGCCCAGGGACAGCATACCAGAGCACAGCTCTGGGCAGCCGGCGCATGGTGGCTTTCATCGCAACCCCTGCGCTGCGTGTACACAGTTGGAAATTACTGCCCAAGGGTCAGTCGGTATGCAACACAAGCTAGACTACCTGCTGACCCGGTAATGTCTCCCAGGGTTGTGTGGGTGGCATTTTTGCTCTTTGTCCTTTTTAAATCTTATGAGTTGTTCATACACATAGTAGATACTGTGCCCTGAAAAATCCTGTCCATAGCTTTGCAAAAAAGTACCTACACTAGCTGACCTCTCTTGTGAAATTCATTGAGCACGAAGACGGATTGTGCTGCTGAGTTACACTACAAGAATGGGTTAGGGCAGGCAGGTTGCCACCGTTCCGATGTTTGGAGTTCTCTCCAGATACTCTGCAAACATGCCTGAAGTACCACGCTGTTGAAAATTATTCAGAGATGCTTTGAGTGCAACCCCTGGCTTTGAAGTAAAGATTTAATGATTTGTGCCGAATTGAGGGCACTTAAAAAAAGTTCGTATTTTGTGTGAACAGATGACTGTTAAGTGGAACTAGTGGTTGAAGTACCATGAGGAAGAGGATAATGACAGCAGTCCCACAAAGAGTCTGTAATGCTTAAAGGAGTCCAGTTAGTATTTTGAGGTGTTTATTCTCTTCGGTATTGTTTTAGGTTGGTTGAGAGGCGGTTTTCAAGGGAGGAGAGTAGAAGCAGAGGAGAGTGGAAGGAGAAGACTAAATTCACTTGCTTCAGACATCGTTACTGTTTCGCTCAGGAATATGTATGTGTATGCGTTTCCAAAATTTGGCATGGTCGCAGGCACGTTAACTTCTTTAGCTCCTTTAAACTGACTTGGGTATTGGTACTTACATGGCCCCATTTATACAGTACTGTTTTAGGTGGTACAGTTGCTAGTTTCTTTTAATCCATTTGAGGAATCCTTTTCACTAGCCGTTGAAGTTTTTGAAAAACTTCACAGTTTTGGTATCTTGTAAAAACACAGAAAAGCCAGCCTCCTACTGTGTAGTTACGTAGGTAATAACTGCATATGGCTTAGTGGTTTTTAGGTAAAAAAATGTATTTTTATATACATACACATAAAAAACAACTTCTCAAGTGCAAAGTTCATGTCATGAATACTAGGCTAGTCTTAAATTGGGGAATGAAATGTTGCCTTAGGGAATAAAACAGGCCTAAAATTTATCCATTTGCTTTGAGCAGCGTAGAAATTCCATTTTTGTGACAGAGTGAGGGACCGTTTTTAATGAGGAAGAACACAGCGGGTAACGTGAAGAGGAACAGCTTTGTTACGGGTACCCTGTGAGGGGAACGCCAAGATTGCTTCTCCGGTTTTATTTCCAAGGTTGTTAGGATTGTTTCAAAGACTCTTCGCTAGAAGCTGAGGAGAAAGATTTGTCTAACCATATGCATCGGTTCTACCCCGTGTGCGATTAAAGCGGGTTCGGTTGTAAAGCATGCAGCAAGAGCCTGGGACCCGAACGACGTAGATAAATAAACCATGCCATTTACCCAACCCTGTAAAAC